CTGTAAGTCGGCGGACGGCTATAGAACTTTTGTTTATTTAATTTCTCTGTTTCTGCTGCATTGGTTGTATACCGTCAAATGGGACGAACAGGTGTTCTTGAGTGGTGTGGAGGTAAGGATTTTGAATGAAGTGTTACTATTCCCGCCTTCTACCGGAGAGACCAAGAGTAAGCAGTCTGGTCATGATTTGCTCGAGATATCAACCCGTTACCTGTTGAAGTAAGAAATATTATTGCTAGGTGGGATGGACGGTACATACATTACATTACATAAATTCACAATACATTGGATCTTCCAAACAACAACCCTTCGTTTTCCACTTTCTCCATGAAACACACTTTCCCGTATCATCATATCAGGGAGGGCACTGAAGTCGTAAACTTCCACTCTGAAAGCGTTCCTGAGATTGAGCATAAATTAAGAAGAATCCTATCTTCTGGGATATAACTCCTTGTAATCCATTGAAAGTCAACCGACGTTTCGGAGGAACATGTCGTCTCCATCTTCATTATCGAAGAATAAGCCAAGTAAGAAACCAGCTTGAAAACAGGTAGCAAGCAGACTTCTTAGTAACACCTTAAACCTTAAATTCTGCTTTGCATAAAATAATTCTGACATTGGTTGATTCCATTTGGTGACATGTGGCTGCATCTGGCCTTCAAGATGAATGCATCTTTTCAACCATTCAGTGATTCGTTTCCATAGTTCATTAAAACACCTTTCTCAGTGATGTAGTTAAGGATTACCACAGTTTGCCATCTTCATCCAGCGGCTGCAGTTCGCCGTGTTGGAGCAGCAATTTCTCTGCCTCGGGTGTCTCGCGGGCTTGTCTAAACAATAGCCTGCAGGCTGTACATACATTCTGAGCCTCCAGCATCATGGCGATCAGTGACGACAATTCACGAGCGGTAGCCGTTTTACCCAGTCTTTGTAGCCTCATTTTGCAACATGGCGGACCGTAATGTTGAAACAGATGAATACTTAGTGTGAGACAAAATAAGTTCGAAAAGTTTTATACGAAGCACCCACGCTGTTTTTTATATTGCTAGTGGGGTGGGACTAAGTCCCTTGTACTACGCCCACTTCTAGCCTATTGTACCAGCCCCAGATGAGAGGTGAGGGTGATTGTGGAGCAATTGGTGGAATGGCAGGGGAAACCGAAGTACTCGGGTAAAACCTGCCCCAACGTCACTTTGTCCACCATAAATCCCACTTGACCAGACCTGGGATTGAACCCGGACCGCCGTGGTGGGAAGCCAGCGACAAACCGCTTGAGCTCCCCACGCTGTTACTACTCACATAACACGCTGACATTATTTTCCGTAACTCGAAACAACATGATTTTGATCGTTTACACATCTGCTCCAGCAAATAAACCCAACGTTGCAACAAATATGAAAGTTTTTAAATTCAGCGCGATTCAATTTGTAGATATTTATTGCCTTTAAATGTTTCGGTCAGCTGAATCACACTGGACGATGTTAACAATTGCTCTGTAATTTGGTTTACTATTGTAACGGACCGAAATGAGTAGAGTTAAGTTTATGAAGATCTTTGGTTTATTGAAATCTAAGATATAAGTTTAAAATATTGTACGTTCGTAACTAATTAAGGACCCCCCTATGAAGACGTATGTTGTAGCGGAGGCATTGCTCCACCATTGTTAACCCCGGCATTGGATGGAGGTGAGTGGTCAGCTTCCTGCTCGACCCCTGTACCCTCGGGGAAACAGTCTCCTGTATCTGTTGGTTAGGATGCTGGGTAGGCACCACAGCCGATCTGGATGCTGTGGAGTAGAGAAAAATCTCTTGCCCCGTTCGGGAATGGAAACCTGGGTGTCAGGCCCGTAGCCCGTAGCCCATAGCCCGTAGCAGTACAGTCTGAGCTATCCCGTCTTAATTTCATGGATAAAAATTGCAAGTAATATAAATTCCACTATTGTCAGTGAAGGAGATAAAGCGGACGAAATGTGCATATGTATAAAGACATCATCTGGAGCTATACGTCGAGGCGCAGTTGATAAGACGCAATTTCATATTGAGAAAGTCTGGGTAAATATCTTTCCCAGGCAACCATTCATAATTGTCAACATGAATTTTAGCATTTGTCGGTCCTACTCAGCTATTTGTGTATGCCTTAAAATAGGTTTTCTTGTAGGCTTATTTTCTTCCCACATATTTTGCCTCTTAAACCCAAATAATTTATCAAAATCATATTTTTTTATTGCTAGTGGGGTGGGACAAAGTCCCTTGTACTGCGGCCACTTCTGGCCTATTACCAGCCCCAGATGAGAGGTGAGGGTGATTGTGGAGCAATTGGTGGAATGAAAATTGGCAAGGGAAACGGAGGTACTCGGGAAAAACCTGCCCCAGGGCCACTTTGTCCACCACAAATCCCACTTGACCGGACGCGGGATCGAACCCGGGCCGCCGCGGTAGGAAGCCAACAACTAACCGTTTGAGCTATGGCGCGGCCTATCAAGATCATAAGGTGACGCTGAGTAAATGAAAGCAAACAGGAACCAACGTCATGCTTTCAAGACTTAATGTTTAAATGGGGGATAACTTTACATTTTCTTTTGGAAGAGATCGTGAGGTGTCTTGATTAAAATTATTTTAAAATTTAGGGTCTACTTGGGCTGTGTCATAGATCAGGCTGTCAGTCGCCGGCTTTCCACCGCGGCGGCCCGGTTTCGAGCCCAGGTCATATGGGATTTGTGGTCGATAAATTGGTAATAGGACAGGTTTTCTCCTAGTACTTCGGTTTTCCCTGCCAATTCTCATTTCACCTACTGCTCCACACTCATCATCTATCATCCGTGGGTGGTACGATGAGCCAGCTAGTAGCCGACATACCAAGTAGACTCAGTCTCACTTCACCCCAAGAAACTAAAAAGGAACTAGGATCTACTTTGTGCTGTCTAATTTTCTGAGGTGATATACGTACGTACTTCTAATGTTGTAGTGCGTAATGGTTAGAGGCGATTGTAGTAACATTATATTGCGACATTCGAGTTTGAAAACTGTGGAAAAATCACTGTAAACTTCAGCATATCCACTGCCCCTGCAAAGATTCAAACTACATGTCGTCACTGTGCATACACGCGGCACTCACTTCCGGGAAGGTAATTTCGGTCCAGAACATCGTTTGTTATGACTGCACGTGCCTAGACAGCACAGGCCGAATTTGATCGAGTTCGGTGGCCCCTCCGAAGAATCCGATGTCCTAGCTATGGAGACTGAAACATGCCTACGAATTGTTTCCTCTAATTTACTGGACGTCATTGGTGGATTATGTAACGTTTCAGTTCATAGACCGCATTAGCTCGGTGTTATCGAACCCAACTCGTTTATGGGGGGCATCCGGTTCAGATTCCAAGCTCAAAACGTCTTTCTTATTATTCAACCCCGGCCCCCAAATAAACTTCGGGATTAAATATATGTATTTTGAAAATGGGTTCACGGATTCAAATCCTTTTCCTCAAATTTCACGAAAGGCAGATAACTGTTTTATTTTGGGACGATGATTAGTTATAAAGAAACGTTTCATGTAGGATTTGAAGATGGAGTCGACATTTTCCTTCGAAACGTCGGTTGTCTTCATATGCTGCACGGCAATATATCCCAGAAAATAGAACCCTTCATAAACATTTCATGAAGAGGCAAGCGGCAATCATATCAAGAAAATCGTATCTTTATGAATACTGGTAATAAAACATAGGCTAATTTCTTTTAATTCAATTTTTGAAACAGTTCCGAAATGAAATCCTGGATTCTGTACTAGCCAGAATCAGTCACTCATGAAGCTGAGCTCTTATTGAGAAGCTGCCAATTGTGCATTTACTCAAGGAATTCCCGGCATTTTATGGAACCCGAAGGTTCATTACCGTGTTCACAAGAGCCGTCCACTGGTCCCTATCCTGAGCCAGATCAATCCAATCTATACCGTCCCATCCTATCTCTCTTAAGATCCATTTTAATTTTGTCCACCCACCTACGTCTTGGTCTTCCCAGGGGTCTCCTTTCTCCCGGCTTTCCCACCAATATCCTATATGCATTCCTCCTTCCACTATTCGTGCTACATGCCCTGCCCATCTCATCCTTCTCGACTTCATCGTTCTAATCATACTTGGATAAGAATACAGTTTATGAAGCTCCTCATTATACAGTTTTCTCCTGTCACCACGGCATGGCGCGTCCTCAGGTTGCTGATGGAGAAGACGCCCACCAGATATGGAGGGTAGCTGCGAATATATTGAATGAGCAGTCGCGGATAGTCGACAAGGGGCGGTCCTCTGGCGTGTTGGTTGGGCGTGGGCTAACAACTTCTCCCCGAAAAAAATATGCTTGTTACGAAAATTTGTAAGACGCCTCGGACCTTAATGGACTCTTTGGATAAACTGGCCAGAATAGTTTGTTAAAATAGACAAATACTTTCAATTGACCGATATGATGGTCACGATTATTGCCACATTAAATGATTGGCTTAAATAGCCCACAAGTGCTGTTTCTAGCAACCTTTTCAAGTATTACTCGTCATATCTCATTCAACGCTTCACATCTTCAACAGCTGAGAACTCATTAATCTATGAACCAACTAACATCTCATAAATAATTTATAATTACCCTTCTAATTGACTTCTGCAGGTTGTACAGTGATATTAAGTAAAGTACGGACCAGACAGTATATATATTAGGCCTGTCTTGACAGTAATAATACAAAACAATACCTCCTTCCGGCGTCTTGAAAGAAACTAAATAAAGCCACTTCTCCCCCAACAGGTATTTGTGTGCACCCGGTGCGTGCTGTATACTATCAGTCTGTATCAGGTGCAAGGGTCCCAGCAATATGAACTCCGTCACGGCTGCCAACTGTCACTTTTTTGCCCACCTGTAGTCATGACGATATCTTTTTTTTTCAGGCAGGAGCATGTTTCCGAAGTTCGGCAAACAACTTACTTCAACTTGTACATCAGTTGATTGATCGATTCTCTGTTGCAGAGTCTGCACTGAATTCTGCCCTTCAAAAGACTGCCACTTGCAGAATTCGAACACTCCTCAGAGAAGCCCGCTTCAATCCAGTTTTTATCATTACATCATAATACCGTAAGACTCGTTTAATATGTACTCGTACGTGTGTGTGTGTGTGTGTGTGTGTGTGAGCGTGCGCGGCTTACCTGTCTATTTTCATTTTCCTACTACAGATCTAATAGAATGCCTTATTATAAAGTTATCGGCACTCTTGCTAGTATTTCGTGTATCCACAATTAAAATGATTCCTAAATGTTTCGGTAGAGCTCTTTGTTGCAACTTGAATCCCTATTCTGAAACTTTCATCTACACTATATGAGTATATTTTATTCTGTGAATGTGAGTGCTATTCAGACAGCCTCTGTGGTATAGTGGTCAAAGTTCCTGCATACAAATCCAGAGGTCCGGGTATGATTCCCGGCGCTACAAGATTTCTGAGAAGTAGTGGGTCTGGAGCGGGGTCCACTCAGCCTCGTTAGGATAACTGAGTAGCTATTTCGTGGAAATAGGGGCTCCGGTGTAGAAAACCGAGATTAACTGCCGTGAGGATCCGTTGCGCTGACCACGCGACAATTTCTACCCGCAAAATTTGGCACTAACTTCGCCGACAAGCGGCGGTCGCTCGGTCGGTATGGTTCGCTTGCTGACTACAGGCCACGGAATTTGTTTTTTTGTTTAATAGAATTTATTTAATTCCGTTTTCTAGCCCTGAAGGGTGGATATTATATCTGCCCGTTCATTACATGATCTCAGGCGTCTGTTTTATTTACGTAAATGGGCCGCTTTTCATCAGACTCGTCTAAATATTATGCAGTCGATGTCTTGATATTTTGAACTCACGTTTGTCAGTAGTAAGAACTTAGCGGCCGTGTGATGTCGTGCGGTGAGAACATCTGCCAGTTCGGTGTGTAAGTCCTTGGAACTTGAATAATTATAAATCTTTAAATGCTGGGAAGTTTCTTATAAAAGTTTCTTCGCGAAATTAAAGTAAATTATGACTGTGTGAAATATTTTAGTCTGACGACTATAACTGATGAATCATTGTTATTTCAGCTGTAAAATTTGCATTGCGACATGTTGTAAACAAACATTATTGTAGTAACCTGTATATGCCGGACCTTCGCTGATTTTTCAGCTTCTTAACCCTATACACAGGTGGTAAGATTCCTTTGGCGGGGGATCAGCCTGTCGTAGGACAGCTCCCTACATACAGAACAACACAAAGAGAATAAACATACACAAATACCCGTGCCTTAAGTGGAATTCGAAACGACGACATTACATGCGTTAGACCGCGTGGCCACTGTGATTCGCCTTCGTGTAGTAATAGTAGTATTAACTCTATAAGATGTAATCCTCCAGAACCCTTAAGAGTACAACGCCAGTAGTGAAATAATTTTTAGTATTTCTGTAAAACTACGTGATTTAGTTTTAGGAATCCTAAACTATACTATGGCCGACGGCGATGCTTATAGTGTTTCTCTCTTTCTTTCTTTTTTTTTTCTGAAAGATCCATCATGAAACTGAATACGTGCGTTATTAATAGATATATTGAGGCCGTTTCCTGCAATATATCCCAGCGATCCATCAGGAACTTGTGACGATGTGGCCAAAGATAACAAATAGCTCCCGAAATAGCGAACACATTATATCTGCGGTAGCGCGATGTTTACTGCGTTAAGAAAGCGAAGTTAATCATCCGTCTAAAAGGCTGCACGTGGGAAGAGACTGTTAGCACGAGGACATTAGCATTGCTAATGCCTTAGGCAAACTCCTGCAGTGACTTTATTTACTCGGACGTGTCAGGCGTTCTTTACACTGGCCGATTAACTAATTAACTAAGTGGCTAAGTGACTAATTTTATATTAATCTTCACACTGAGTAATTTACTAAGTGACTAAAGTAAAAGTGGCTTAATTCCAGCAGCGTTAGCTTTAATTCCTGCAGTGCCAACCGCCATTTCAGCTAATATTTTAGGGATAAGTAACACGTAAAAATTCCATAAGAACTTGGAAATATCATGCTGTTATGGGACCCAAAGGCTCATCACGTCGAATTATGTAGGTGTCTTTTTTTTGTATTATAATTGAGAGCACTGACTTTTTTCAAACCATGGGGAATTTTATTTAATTGATGCGCTGAATTAAATTTAATTGAACTGAAATTAAAAAAAGATTAATCATTTCCATTTATTATTAATAAACAGAGCACAAAGAAGAGACTAAAATAACATTATTATTTACAGAAATTCTAAAGCGGTGTAGAAAGGAAATAACACAAATATTTCATTGCATTATGGAGACAGGAATTTGTAATAGTTTGCTCGTTGTTTCTTGCTTCCTCGGCCTGCTCTTCGATCCCGAAGATAGAATAAATATGTTTATAGGATACGTTCATTAACTTCCACCAAACTGTACGGTGTCACATCCCAGAAGATAGTAGTCTTCGTTGTAAATAGTTTACTTCATGCCTGTCACATCTCCGAGATGTTAGTGGTATCACGCAAATAAATAAATTAAATATTCATAACGCGGTCTTCTGGGTAACGAGACCGTCGTAGTCTGATAGATGAAAGGCAAAAAACGTAAAGTTGTCCCTGTGCTAAATTAGTTAGCACCACGCCATGAAGACTTACGGGGGACTGGAGGTATAGCTCCACCATTCTTGACCTGGTCACTAGATGGAGGTCAGTGATCATATTCATGCCCGGGCCGCTTTCCTTCCAGGGAAATAGCTCCCGGTACCCATTGGAAGAAGGACGGATGGGTCTCAGAGCCGGTTCTGACTTTGTGGAGAGGAGTAAAATATTGACCCCGCTGGGAATCGAACCCTGATGTCCAGTACCATAGCTCGTACCAGTATTTCATAGGATCCCACGGCCCCCATACGTTGGGCTGAAATCTTCATCCCAGAAAATGAAAGAAGTATATTCTTCGGAAACTTTGGTTTAGTACCCACCTACAAAACTACAACAGTGTGTCAAAACTTAGATCACAGTATATAATCTTTATTGTTGTGAAAACCTCTATCTTACAGATCAAATATTGTACCGATGTCAACGATATTTGCGATAGCAAGACGTAACTGAAATTCTTAATAGTTAAGCAACATTTACGAGAAATACTGAACACATTATTGACACAATAACTTGTGAATGTGAAATTAATGACAGCTCTGGTGTAAGACATTCGGTGTAATCAGTGAAACCTGCGTGTTCCCAATAGAACTATTCTAACTGATAATGCGACAAGATAAGTCACTTCAATATCTACAGTAGGGACAGGTTAAGGAAAATCTACTGTCTTGCGGTCTTAGTCGTCATGTCGTCCGGCATGTTTATCGCTGTTTCGGAAGCATCTACTGCCACGCTCAACTTCAAGCTAGAAGAGCCTGGAAGAATATGGGACAGCACTTATCAGGAGGACCAGATCTCTGGGCAGGGAATTTAACTCGGAACTTCCCAAATAATATTCATGATCGGGTTTATGATGTACAGTAGTTCCTTGTTGCACCTAGTATATGCCCAGCCGTCGCCATATCTCCATGTTACGCGTACACGCGTGGGATCATACATATTTGAAGTCTTATTGATGAAAGAAGGCAGATCCGTAGTAATGGGTAATTATATTGTTTGAATAAAAACTATTTTTGATTCGGTAGACTGGACCCCCGATTATAAACAACACCCAGCTATAGAGAGAAATCAACGGTTTATGTAGGCAGGTCTCATAAATTAGTTCAGAGATAAAATGTTCTTATTTTGTTTTATGTAGTGCCGTATCAAGAGTACGTCAGTGCATGTTTAATGTCTAAATTTCATAGCCCATGTTAACCAGATTTTGTATACAGTTAGTACCATATAACATGTTAAATTGGCCATTTCCAGAGCACCGCGCCGTGAAGGCGCATAGGGACTTAGAGCTTTACGTATTCTTGGCTTGGGCTGCAAACACTGCAGACGGGAGTGACTAGATTCATGATTAGCCTGTTTTGTCAAGAGGTAAAACTCCCAGTACTCAAAGTAGGAGGCTGGGTCGAAAGCAGTCGCTGTCAAGGAAATTACATTGCTAATTCGAAAGCCTTCTGGCTCTTATTTTGAATCAGCTCGCAATTCTGATGGCAACCTAATAGTCTTAAAAGAGCAATTTTAGGGCAGTTTTTAAAGCAATGAAGAACAAGAATTTAAGATGCTTTCCTAATATCTTTTTAACTGTTATTCCAGATCTTTGCAAATCTCCATATTGTCACATGTAGGAGTTTTGCGTGACAGGCGGGTTTTGAATTGGATTTATTGACACCTTATACATTCAACTCGGGACTACAGGCAAATTATAGAACTACTAATTCCGCACTTCGCAGTTCACCGTTACACATGCACTAGAGTTCTCAGTATTCACTAGTCATATCCTGGCAACGTATTTATAACAGCCTCACTGTCACTGTAGCACACACGAAGTCGTCTTTGCATAGTGTAATTCCTTCCCATTAATCTCCATCACCTTCGACTGCCGACACACTCAGTTCTCTGCTACACTGCCAACTCCGGAACTCGACTCAGTTCTATTTCTTCTGTTCACAAGCTCATATCCTGACAGCCTGGCGTCTCGAAACTCAACCAACTCTTCTCAGCTGAACCCTTCTTCATAACCGCTTTGCATGGACCGAAGAAGAACAGCCGCTATAATGTTGGGAAGAATTGTTTACAGCGCCGTTGCGTAGCAATGGAAGTTCCTCGATCGTTTCTTGCGTATTCGTTGCCGCGAGAATGTGTTTACCGAGTCCTTGCCTAGCAATGTATGTCTATACTAACTGCACTATTCTGGGTTTGGGGCTTCATGTTACATCATAGATTTTACATCATGTTTACATCATGTATCATGTTTAAGGGATTGTTTCGGCACCATACGAGTACATGATTAAACAGTATAGCTGTATAGATCGTGTATGTAACTAACGTACGAGTACGCGCCGCTGCGGCTATGAACGTGACACTTTATGCTTTGAAATAATAAACGAATTAGCTCTGTCAAAGACTGACACTGTATTTCAAATGTTGGGGGCCCCATCCTGCCGTCTCTACTGCCAGCTGTCTTTCCCAAAGTTTTATCCAACAGCAATCTATAAACATATTTCTCCCGGAAGCTTACTGCACACTTAAACCAACCACATGGTCTCAAAGGGTAAACAACCAAACCCCCCCCCCCCCAAAAAAAAGAACTCCGTGACGTTAGTCCGCAAGCGAACTATACCGACCGAGCGACCGCCGCTTGTTGGCGAAGCTAGTGCCAACTTTAGTGGATAGAGGATGTCGCGTGGTCAGCGTAAAGAATCCCCATGGACGTTAATTTCGGTTCTCTAGACCAGAGCCAGTACTTTTCCATGCAAGTCGTTCCTCAGTTACCTTCACGAGGCTGAGTGGACCCCGTTCCAAATCCACTATTAGTCAGAAAATCTTTTAACGCCTGTAATCGAACCCGGGACATCTGGATCTGTAGCTAGGAACTCTGACCACTAGACCACAGAGGCGGTCCTCAAGGGGCAAATGTTTAAATGTTTAAATTCTCAACTGGGACGACGACTGTGCCGTCGTGGAGGTGGAGTTCATGGTTCTTCCAAAGGTGTACCGTGGTGGTACACTGGAACATGCCACACCCTCGCCCGTTCGCTCAGGGTCATCGTTCACACCCCTCTTGTTCGAAGGCGAACATGTCATATAATTGATAGCATTAATATTGTGGAGTGCCGGCTAAAAGCCAGAATATCTGAGTCAAAGCGGGTGCCCACTGTTAGGCAACGGCTAGGCATCCACGGCTCCGTAGCGTGGTCGGGGTGACAGTGAAACAGGTAGAAGCGACAATGCATACATAAGAGACGTTACCACGCAAGTGAAAAACCAAAACAAGTGAAGTTCTCGCTGCAAACAATATTTGGAGACCGTTGCTTCGAAAAAATGAGAAATAGAAACCCTTCAGGGCGGTGTCTGCTATTCGGTAAGTAAAAAAAGTAAAGCTATCCCTTTAACAGGCCGTGAAGGCCCAAGGGATTGTGAGACGTTGAGGGTCCCACATTATCTAGACAATCGGCTCAAAGATGGCGGCACGCCAAGAAAAGCACGAAGAGGGTAGAAAACATGGAACGAAAGTAGAATAATATGCTTACATGACATCCGTGATTAATTTATTACTGTGCTGTACATGCATTTTGCTCATTGCTCTCCGTTTTCCCGTATGTTCTAGAAGACGGACCCAGTGATGTAGCCCTAGAATGACTTCTGCTTTGGAACAGCGTCATGGAACATCGCTCAAATGCAACAGCAATAACTTGGTGAACGTGACGTCACAGGATCAATCAGCAAAGCTCAAGTGTCTGGTGAACATGGCACCTTCTAGAGAATCAGTCGCTTTCACCAGCACCAAGGGACTTTTAAACGGCCCAGGACAGAACAACTGCTTCCTCAACAGCGCTGTTCAGGTAAGTCAGTTTGACTCTGGTCTTCCTCAGCGTCGCTGCTGCAGTTCGTCGTGTCATAGCGGGCAGGTAATTTCACATTCTTATAGGAAAAGGCGCAACAGATTTGAAGGGCGCGCAATTTGAAACGACTGCTTCAATTCACCGCTGTTGCATATAGGCTAGTGGTTCTCAACATTCTGAGACCCCGGCCCGGTATAGTTTATGTCATGGCCCGGTGGTTGAAGAACGCTGATCTAGCCTTTCCTGTTCCTACCCATTTTATGTGTGAGGAGCCAAGATAGCGACTGGGCTACGGACTGAACGACCGAGGCATTTGGTTTCGACTCCCGGCAGTGACAATAGATGTTTTATCTTCTGGGGGCTACCGAGCCTCCTGTCTAATGAGTACCAGGGCTAGAAGCCCACCACCTACCTCTAGAGCTGATGTTCAGCGTGTGTGGGTCTATGTTTTCTCTCCTTCATACTTCATTGCCTGTGGTTTAATTAAGCAAAGAGACAAATTTACCTTGACTCACTTTGTGTTGGTGAGCCGTTTGCGTGCATTAGGACAAAGCTTGTTTTGAGTTTTGTATAAAATAAGAGTTGAATGGAACCGAAATTAATTCTCTCACAACTTCATAGTGTATAACAGCCCCACCCCTTCCGCTCCACCAAACCAAATTGCCTCCTTCCTTTATTGCTTTTGTATATACAGTATATGATGGACGGGTACCCATGTCCCGTTACATTAGTTGTACAGTTTTGCATAGATTGTTTAAACCTTTTAGGCATTTCTTATTTTATGAAGAACGGCTTGTGCTGGACGATGGGCCAAGCCCAAGAACCCAGTAATTCCGAGAGGAATAGAATTACTTCCCTGCTTACCTGTTGTAGTTGAGCTGCTGTTCTTGTGCCTAGCCTCCGTGAATAACGTTAACAAAAGATTCAAATTATAGTCCACTCAGAATTTATCTTACAAAAATTTGAAAGTTTTACTAGGGCACATACGCAAGAAACATATATCTTCATGATAATGATTAAAAACCATTTGAATAATGAAGTTTTATTTTGTTGTTTTTGTTTTATCTTTATTACAGTTCCGTGAATATATCATCACTTATCATGATCATTTCTGTGAATTTCTTGTGAAGAATTGTAGGGAGTGTTGGGCAGAACCAACATGGTGATGATCTGAAGCTTCAGATTTGGCATATCGATTCATCCCAAGCCACTTGCTTCTTGAAGCGACCTGCCTACGGTCCATATTTCGTTCAGCAGTTAACACAAGAGTACCTGCAATTTCAAAATCTGCTATAAAATTGGCGATATAGTTGCTATACGTACGAGATGCGCCTATCGAATTTCTCTTCTTCTAGGAATGTGTAAAAGCACAGATGCTAACCATGTGTTGGCGACTGGTGACGTACAAGAAAACCCGCGAGCAACCAGGAGGAATGAGAGAAGCACAAAAATAACTTCTGCTTCTTCTCTGTGCTTTGAATGCCCGCGGGAAATCTGCTAAGATGCAGATGGAGAGAAATAAGATGATTGGCTTCGCTGTTTGGAGGCCCCCGGCGAATTCAGACCTGCGTACGTAGGCCTACATATTTGCTCTCAGTCCTATAGAAGGGACGAACAATCTTAAAGGCGCGTCCACATTACTCGTGCTCGTGTGACTCGCTATGCTCGCGAATAATGTGGACCATATGACAAGTCACGAGACAAGTAATTTAAAAATTTTAATTTAAAAACTATAGCCGATAAATTAAAATACGACTACAGCCTATACACACTACGAGTAAATATACGGATCCTCACGCGCCGAAGCCTGGCGAGCAACTGAAGTAGTGTGGATGAAGATTTACGAGCACAAGTAAAAGCCAGACGAGTCTCCCGACGAGCACAAGCCTGTCGAGCTCGAGCACGAGCACGAGTAATGTGGACGCGCCTTTAGGTGATACGAATTCCATCTGGGAACCAGTCCACTTCCTTTCGGCAGCACACTAATGGAGAGGCGAAGCGCGCCATTAGGACGACAGTCGCAGCGGACTGTTCCACTCCAGTGGAAGTGTAACTTGCCCCCCCACACACGCACGCACGCGCGCACGCACACACACACACAGAGTGTTGCAGGTTTTCTTAGGTAATAATAATGAAATGGACGAACTACAGCGAAAACTACAATTAAAATAACAAAGATATGAAAGATACAGCACAAATATAAGAGTAAACAAAAGCTGGTGAAACTGTCCCTGTAACAGGCCGTGAAGGCCCAGAGGGTTGCGAGACGTCGAGGCTCCCATATTTTCTGGACAAACGGCTCGCAGATGGCGGTGAAGTTTTCAGACTTACGCGCCGGTCGCCCTTTACCCGCAGGAAGATTCCTGGTACTCATTTCTGTTAGAGGCTGTCGACCCCAGGGTCATAGTGCGGCTGGAAGGATTATGTCCGTTGAAAAATCGAATGAAAT